GAAGTCATGGATTTGGGGCAAGGTGATTATCAATTGTCTGGCACAGATAGAATATTAACTGATATAGCGATGGTGCCACCCATTCTCATGGCGGGGATAAAGTCAACCGGTTATAAATCCAAAAGGAGTGACCGCACTCTGACTGGAGCAACTTTAGAAATGGAAATACTCAGTCAATGTGGAGAGAGTAAAATGAGGGACTTCAAACCATCTCCCATGAATCATGGAAAAGGGAGTGTTGCAGGACAACTGACACCAGTGGAATACAACCGACTAACAGTGTCGGAGACAGTGTCGATAGATGAACCCACCGGTGGATACATGGAGATGTTGGAATACCGGAACTCGGCTAGAGGGTATGTAGTGGCCCTGGAAGACGAAAAAGCCATGGAGGGTTATCTGGAAATGATGTTGCAAGGCACCACCCTCAAGCAGAAGGCGTATGGAACTTTGGCGTCGTCTGACGTAGAGGCGGAGACGATCGAGCAGTTAGTGAGCCTTCCATGGAAAGCAGTAGTATTGAGGTATTTCGAAGAAGAAATGAGGACTACGCCAAGAATACATGCTCTCGTGGCAGTACCTTACGTAAGGACAGAATTACAACTCAGGCTCGCCTGGTGCATGATGGGACTGACTCGCGAAGAATATGATTCGGAAGAAAGGAAGAGATCAAAGGAGGAAAAAGTTTTCCTTATGACGAATCTGAGGGATCTGATAGTCCAGGAGGGAGCAGCAGTAGCGTGTGCAAAGCGGAGAGACGCTCTCTGTTTCATTCGATTCCTGATAGAGCAGATCTCAGTACCTGCATTAAGCACTTGTGTTAAATGTGCTTAATGTGCTATCTGCAGTACCTGCAGATCTCAGTACCTGCATTAAGCACTTGTGAGCGAACGAAAGCCATGTTCTTACTAGCAATGCTGGATATGCAGCAAAGTAAACCGATGAGGGTGAACATGAAAGAACCTGAAGAATTGGAACCCATGAAAAAGATAGACGAGATCAGGAGATTCTCAAACAAGGAGTTGAGGCTCACTAAAGAATCTATGGGAGCATTGCCGAAATCCAGTGAATACTGTGGACCGATCAAGAAGAAGCCATATAGCTATGTATCCGGGATCATAGGGATAGCGTACAATCCTTTCCTGAGTGAAGACATACGTGATTGCTTCTTTGATTATGAGCAGGCGGTGTTACTAAGATTCTGGACGTCCAGAATTGTGACGACTAAGAGCGTTAACAATCCACAGGCCAAATTGGGATTGGTCTTGGAAGAAGAGGTGACTGCACCTTCAGTACCAAAATCCGACAAGAGAGTGGAATTTGGGTTGGGATTCTCAGATGAATTACTGAGAACGAGCTTGATGGCAGTGTGGGAATTGATGAAGCCATCGTGGTGTCCTAGTCCCAACGCTGACTCAATATTACGGGCGACACAGGACATACAGAGGGAACTGAATGCGGACTGTAACCTGCGTGACCTCAACATCATATATAATGTGATGATAACAGCCTCTAAGAGCAACGGAGAAGATAGAGTGGAGTTGCCTGGCTGGGGACCAGAAGACTGGGTTAAACCTGGTAGCTGTCTGGCGGAAGTCTGTGGACTAGAGGGTCACGTTTGTGGAAGTCTAGACTGTGTGAAAACCCTGGAGAAACAACACAAGCAGTTGACGGTATTGTTTGGAAATGTAGTGATGAAAGCAAGAACGGAAACGGAACTGATAGCAGATTGCCATGGAGGAACCGATGTGAATCTAGTGACAGCACTAGGATTCTACAGCATGTTTGGTTATTTAGAGTCACTATTGAATCTAGAACAGAAACATGAGATGGTCACAGCCATCAGCGTAGAAGTATTCCCAGGAGTTCTGCAGACTGAGCAGAAGTATATAGGAAAATGGAGGGAAGCAATCGAAACGGAGATGAACATCAGACACAGCGAAACTTATTGTAGACCATCAGGGGCACGATATTTGGTGGGTTCAACGTTGGCTCCAATGTGCAAGAGCAGATACCCTGTACATTTCGTGGCTGTGGACGTGAAGAGTACACGAACGATCGTGGATCAAGCTTTCTCAGTGCCAAAGTGCGTGAGATTGGCGAGAATGTCTGAAAAGTCTTACGAGTTACTATGTAAGATGTTCTCAGCAGTTCCAGAGAGAACCAAAGAGGAGTTGGAGTCAATACTAGGAAAGAAGTTCATGGGATATGTGAGCGGGAACTTCAGTGACTTTGAAAAACAGAAACAGAGAGGATCAACTGTCACAGATTACAATGCAGTAGATGAGAATGATGAAATCCACCGAGTGATGATGGAAGTGGAACCATTGCTGGAAGCTTCAGGAAAACGCAATTGGAGGAGCATCATGTTGACACATGACGAATTTCCTTGCCACTGCTTGCTGCAGACCTGGTGGTATCCCAAGCGTAGTAATTTGGTGTTGATCTGGGACTCTGGAGAGCTGCTCTCCATGGGTTTACCAGATTCATCACAGCCCATAACAATAGTGATAGTGGGAGTTATGATGGCGATACGATGGCTGGAAGCTCATGTGAGAGAAAATAATAGACAGGAGGCACCGACGAGAGAACAATTGCAGAAATTAGATTGTCTAAAAGATTTAGATCTTTTTGAGACAATGTGCAAAGTTCTAAACATTCCGATGGAAGTGAAGAAGATATGGGCAAGAAAACGATTGATGCCATGGTTCAGAGCTAACATGACTGCATGGTTGTACGAGTATGCGAAAAAGCATATGTCGAAACATGGCAGAGTGTACAGTGAATATCAGCTGGACATTGGGGCAGGAGCTTTCAAGCGAGCTTTCGTGACCCATCGGAATGCAGTGACCACCGCTGTGAAAAGAATTTCCAGGACGAGCGAGCGTAGTGGAAATGAGAAGGCAGAGATGCTGAAAGAAGATTTGGAGAGAAACGTGACGTTGTGTCTCCACAACAGCTTCTGTAGAAACAGAGAATCAAACGTGGATCCCCTACCTTGCTGTAAACAGAGGGTGGAAGAGCAGAAGTGTTGGAGGACGGCTTCCAACAGCGTCAGGATAGTCAATGACGTGCTACAAGACACGGAAACCGAGAGTGCGGAGTCAGTGTCACAGGAGGAGGAAATGGAGCATTGACGAATGGTCGAGAAAACAAGAGGCAGCAAGAAAGAAAATTAGAAGAATTTAGAAGTTTTAGAACTTCTAAACGACGAAAAAAGAAGAAAACAAAGGGATGATGGAGAAAAGTTAAAACTCAGAATTGTTTTATGTGTGTGAAAAACTCAAGTGAGAAACCAAGCAACCAAGTTGTAATTGAAAACTGAAACATTTAGTTGAGTTTTGAAATTGTTGCATTTATAAATTTGCATTTTGGTTTTAGTTGAAGTGGCTTTAGAGACACTCACTTATTATTTATTTAGAAAGGCTTAAGGGAAGAGTATATTTAAATATTCCAGCCTGCATGATTGTTTTTAATCACTTAGGAAGACTGATAACTTTGTGGTGACATGAAAAACTTGAGTAACTTCTTGAGGAGGGAGGTTGTTGCATTGTTCTTTCTAACCACAAAGTTTCTTAGTTTTAATACTCAGGACAATAGACAAGCAAGATTTCCGAAGGGAAGGAGCATAGTAGGATAATTTTAGCTTGTTGGTTGGCAGGACTGTCCTGCAAGCCAACACCTTTTAAATCTAGGAGAAAAAGTTTCAATCGGGACATTGACACTGGAAGTCAGAAAATATGTTTTATCTTAAGTCATATCCTCAATGTGCAGATTAATGAAAGAATTTGAAGGCTATAGTGATGTAGTATGATGCCATTTATATTCTGCAGTGAGTCGATGTGACGTAGATAAAAGTAATTTCGTGCATTTTGTAAATTCTGTTCGATGACACTGTAACCATTTAGAACATTGCGCGATTCAATGAGGACATTGACCGGACTGTCCGGGGAGTATGTGACATTCGACCAGAATGGCCAAAATACAATTTATGCAGGATTCGAATTTTGAGCAGTAAGCCTTCCGAGTTGATGATTTCGAAGGATTAGCGACGTTATTGGAACGTTTAGCCAAACGGTGAGGGCTAGAATATTCTAGTATTTTAAATTTTTAAAAATTCGAATGATGACGTCACATTTCTGAGAAATGCTGAAACGGCCATTTTAACAAAAAAGCGAGTAAAAAACAGAACAACTTTTATCTGCGATTGCGAACAGTACGAAAATCGAGATTGGAAAACGACAACGAACTACAGAATAGCAGAGAACGCTCCGAGTTGCAACTATTGTGCTGCTACAATAGTTGCAAGGCCGTTGCCAACAACGGTGAAGGGTGAGAACCAGCCTTCCGGATTAGCAAGAAATCAAGAGTAAGGAGCTTGATTCGGCGGATTCAAGAATCCGGAAGGGTCTCGGGACGGAAACTTTTATTAACTCACATAAACTTTTAGCATCCTGTCATGTCCTGACTTGAATTTAACTGATATTTTGATTAGTTTTGACAAGGATGAGGTGCTAGGAGTTGGGGGAAAGGGTTGATCCATCTTCGATGGAGATGATGATTTTTATCTACTGAACAAAAACAATAGTAATATGATAAGTAGTAGCCCTGTTTTTAGGAGTGACCTCGTGGTCTGGGGATACTGAGACCCAGCCATGAGCTCACTATTTTTGCATGTAATTCAGTTAATTTGAGCGTTCTGGTCGAAGCCGGAGAACAGTAACGTTTTTGTCAGCCTGATGTAAGAAAGACCACCGAAAAGTACTGGCTTGGTAGAGACGGTGAAAAACATGCAAAGCTCTGTTTAGACGCTAGCCAGTCGTCTTAAGACTTAGTTTTGTTATCCGTCGATATGTATCTTCCGGGCGAATGTTACAATTTTTGTTTTAGCAAATGTTCATTCACTTGATTTTAATTCTTCAATTTTTTAATGTAATGAATAAAGTTTCATTTTTTTCTTTAAGCTGCTTTATGTAATTTTCCTCATCTTTTGCAGAGCTAGCAATGGGTAGTGCTTCGAGCAAATCATATCCAATTTCAATTGGCCCGGGTAGTGAAAGTAAAGCTTCTTGTCCCATGGGTTTTTCGTCCGATCAGCCTCCGAAAGAGGTTTTATCGAATTCAGCTGCGTGGTCGACGAGTCAAATGAAATCTGTTGATACCCGAAATATGATGCCGCCTCCGAATCAGCTGCCAGCACCCGGTCAAATAATTCCTCTGTCGACAGAAAGAGAAGTTTCGACTATTCCCAGGGCGTCTGAAAGTCCCGAAGAAGACAAATGGGTTTACCCTTCCGAACAAATGTTCTATAATGCAATGATCAGAAAAGGCTGGAAAGTTGATAAAGATGACTTGAACCCAAATGTAATGACAGCAATCATTAACGTAAGAGAAAAACATAGCACAAAATAATAATACTACCCCAAAACAATTTTTGGTTACTAGAAAGTTTTATCATGAAGTTCGGCTCTCAAATAACTGATATTTTAGATGCATAACAAAAATAATGAGGATACCTGGAAGGAAATTCTCAAGTGGGAAGCGCTGCATTATGAAGACTGCAAATTTCCAACATTGAAAAGCTTCTCGGGCAATGCCAAGAAATTTACACCGAGAGCCAGAGTCCGATCTTGGATGGGTTATGAGCTTCCTTTTGACAGACATGACTGGGTAGTCAACAGGTGTGGTAAAGAAGTTAGGTATGTAATTGATTACTACAGCGCCCCAGACGAAGAGGCCAAAAATAACACAGCTGCTCTCCTGGACGTGAGACCGGCACTGGACTCATTCTCTGGTCTGGCTGATAGAATGAAAGTTGTCTATTGGAGGCGAACAGGCAATGCGCCCAAAATTTTCTCAGAGTACAAAGATAAACTAGCAAATCAGAATGAAAATGCTAAAACTTAGATGATATTTGAAATACAGAATTTAAGTTTTAGAATATGAAAAAATAGGCTGATATAGTGGTTGCAATTTTGTAAGCTTCCCTTAATGCTGGATTTTTTTCAGATTTGATGAAATTGCGCATTAAAAAGTGGCATGCCATTGCCGTTTGGAAATGGATTGCCAATGATGACAACTGTGGAATATGTAGAATGGCATTTGATTGTTGCTGTCCTGAGTGCAAAGTGAGTTGATATTTTTGATAGATCGTCTAAACGAGGTTGATTTTTGAATTTTTTTAAGTGTGAATGAACGTAGTGAAAAAACTTATTAAGGTCCTAGTGATTTTTGTATTTTCTTATTTAGGAAAAATTTGTTCATACTCGAGTTTGATTTTTCGCGGTTTGACATTTAATTTCTTTAAGTTCAGTTTGTTTCCTGTCCTGGAAGGAAGGAGAACTTCGCTATAGAACATAAGAAGTGCAAAAATTACAAGAAAAACGTGATCGACTTCCAGTTTCGAAGGCAGATTTAAGTTTTTAGATTTTCTTGGGGAATAAAAAAAACATTGCTCCAGTTTTCTCAAATACGGGCATATATTTTTCATTCTTTTAGCTTCTCCGGTACACTTAGTCTAGAGCTAGTGCCCAAGCCTGGAAATTTTATGGGCCTAGGTTCAAATCCGGCCAAGACCTGTTTTTTTTGTAAACTGAAAATATTCTGTTTCAAATTATCTTCGGCCTATTGTTTGTCTGCTTGTGTTTTGTCGGCTTAATTGGCCTATCGCCAACTTTATATAAGCAATAAGCATTTTTGTGCAATTGTTATTGATTTTTGTGTTGCAAGCATTTTTTGGCTTTTTGTGCAGCAAGCATTTGAAGCAGTTGTAATTTTTTTTGACTTGTTTCTGTTAAACTACTAACTCTGGCGTTGCAAAGTTTCTTTTTTCTTTAATTTTTTGGCTTGAATTTGTTCGGCCGAATTTGTTTCAGTTATTTTATCGGCTTTTTGACCTAATTTTGCGTCTTTTGAAGGGAAAAATTATTTCTTCTGTCCTTCATCTTCCGCAAACACACAAAAAAAAATCTGTTTTCCCTATATAGCTCAAAATTGTTCATGAAAGCATTTTTTGTTCTCAGCTCCATGGGCTTTTATGCAAATGTTGTCGGCTTAATTATCGCTCGATTAATGTTGCCGATTACCTAATCAATGCCGGTATTTGTGTTGCTGGTCGTGTTTTTCTCAAAACGACATATGGGGGAACATTTTGTGCTTGTGGTTATTTTAACTTTTTTTTTATTTTAGTGGATTTATTTTCAATTTCTGTCTGCTAGCCTTCAAGAATATGTTTGCTTCGAAAGAAAAAAGAAAGAAAGAATAAATTTCTCCGGTCATTCATTACATAAATTTGGCAATTCATCGTGATAAGTAATTATTAAAATGAGACTCGGAGAGGATAGACAACGGGGCCATATGGCACACAAACGCCTACCCTAGCTATGCATGCTTCTTTCACTATCAGGAAAAGATTTTTTTTAAATGTTTTTTTTTTGAATTTGTTGAAAATTTTCAATTTCATCCATTCCATATATCCTAAGCTACGAGCATTTGGACGGTCAAGTACTGTCATTTTAATCCGAAGCCTATATTATACCTGCGTTAGCAGGCAACCGCCGGTAAAAAGAAAAAACATGAATTTAGATTTTTTTTTGAATTTTTTTTTAAATCTTAAATCGTCCATATCTCCTAAGCTAGGAGTTTCTGTTAGGTCAACTTTTAGCGTTAGAACCTCAACCTTAAGATACACAACCTTAGCATGCAACTACGGGTTCAATAAATTTTCTATTTATAATTTGAAAATTTAATCGAATTAGATTTTTTTTTCTAAGTTTTTGAGTATTTTTTTTTAAAATCGTCCATATCTCCTAAGCTAAGAGTTTCTGGAAGGTCAAATTTTAGCGTTAGAACCTCAACCTTAAAATACGCCCCCGTCAGCATGTAACCACGGGTTCAATAAATTTTTTCTTTTTATAATTTGAATATGTAATCGATTAAGTCTTCATTTTGCACTAAAAATACAGTTTTAAATGTATGATAAAATGTTACTAATTCTGTTTTCGATTATCTTTCAATATCCTCGGGGATTAACTTTTGCGCTGAGAGAAGGTTGAAAAGCTTGGTAGCACGATATCGAATGGAAAACCGATCGATTTTTTTCTTACATATGGGTTCAGCTAATAGTTTTGTTTTCGACAGTCTCGTGGCCCTTGTTTTCTTTTCAAAGGAGAACATATTGTTTAAAAAACTCTGAGAGAGAGACTTTGTGACAGCACGAAGCACGAACTTTAGTAGTTCGTAAACATTAATTTCAAACACCGATAAGAATTTATTCTCTAGAAAAATATCACGAGAACTATCGCTACGCTTTCGAAAATAGATGAATTCAAGAATTTTCTTTTGCAGTAGAAATAAACATTCAAGCGAACTTTAGCTACAACAACCGTATATCAGAATTCCGTATTGAATGATAGGAACCACATTACTTCTATAGTATTCAAGCAATTGGTTTCGTGGCGCATAATGTCTTAGTTTCGATAAAATCGCGCATTGTTTTCCGGGCCTCATTTTCACCGAATCGATATGTCTTCGAAATGATAATTTATAGTCAATATATAAACCTAGATATTTACAAACAGGTTTATTAATCACCTCTGAGCAATTAAGTGTGAATTTTGAATTGGAAATACTTTTTATGTTCATTTGTATTGTCTTATCATTATTTATAATTAGCTTATTTCCATGTAACCAATGGTCAAGATGACGAAGATCATCTTTAATATCTATAATCTGGCAGCCTATAGCAGTTATGTTGGTGTCATCTGCAAATAAGATTACTTCTGCTGTTTTACATGTCACGGGCAAATCATTAATGTATATAAGGAAAAGCAACGGTCCTAAAATCGATCCTTGTGGGACGCCGCATTTTATTTTTTTCCAATCTGAAGAAACACCATTTACTTCAACTCGTTGTTGTCGATCGTTGAGGAAGGACCTAAACCATTTTAAGCAATTGCCTCTAATGTCATATGCATCAAGTTTCGTCAGAAGTATTTCATGATCAAGAGTATCAAAAGCTTTTCTTAAATCAAGGAAAAAACTATAAGCCTCCTTAACGAGTTTTTAAGTCTTATTTTTTCAGTTAGCTCAACAACTGCTTCTATTGTACTATGTTTTGATCTGAACCCAAATTGCTTGCTATACAAAAAACCGAATTTTTCCATGTATGCGTAGATTCGATTATACATTGTTCTTTCGTATACCTTGCTTCATACAATAAGTAAAGAGATTGGCCGGTAATAATTTTCATCTAATCGGGAATTGTTTTTATGAACAGGAATTACTTTTGCTTTACGCAAAGCAGAAGGAAATATGCCTTTTTCAAAAGAAAGGTTGACTAGAAACGATAGAAATGGGGAAGTAACGTTTTTAGATGCTTTCACTATTTGATTGTTAATATAGTCATCCCCGGATGTTGATTTGTTGTCTAATTGACAAATAATATCGTTGATTTCTGATGGCGTTGTTCTGTATAGAAACATTGACCAATTTAATTTAGGTACTGGAGGTGGAGTTACATTTGAAATATCTGTTTTCAAGTTTTCACCAATGTTGATGAAAAAATCATTGAATCTATTTGCTACATCTTTTTCAGTTGGATTATCATTTAGTTTTTGGCATGATTCAAGAATGGGCACTTTCAAACGAGATATAGATTTTCCATTTAGCTCATTAAGTAATTTATATGTTTGTCTTGTTGAGTCACCAATACAATTCTTAAATTTATTCCAATAAAATTTTCGTTTATTCATTTTGACCGCTTGTTCGAATTTTTTTCTTAGATTAGTAAAAGTATTCAATAAAGTACTATTTTCAGTGTTTTTTTCCAGTTTCTGTGGGCTTTGTTCCTCTTTGTTCTAAGATTTTTTAACGCGTTGTTGAACCATGGTGGATGTGGTTTCTTGCCAGGGTTAATTTTCTTGATTGGCGCATATCGGTTTAACACTTTTTCAAAGATAGATTGAAAGCTGTCAAAGGCTTGCTCGGGATCTTCCATTAGTAGAATCCTATTTTCATTCGCTTCGAATGATAGTTTTAAATTTTTGAGAAAAAAACTCAGCTTTGATTTCTTTTTTAGAAAATTGGTATCTCTAAAAGTGTATATAGAATCTGAAGATATTTGTTTCACTGGCCAGATGATTAGGATCGGATAATGATCAGCAGTTTCTTCATACTGCATGACTTTCGTTCTAGCATCCGATAAATTTTTATAGATAAAGTGGTCGATACATGTAGATGATGTTGCTGATACGCGAGTCGGTTCTATACCAAAAATTTCAAACCCATTAGAAATGATGCTATTTATGTAGCTAGTTGAAAGCTGATTGTCCAGTAGCGTATTGATGTTAAAATCTCCACATATGAGGACCTTTTCCGATGTTGAATTATTCATTTCCAAGAAATCTTGAAGCTGATTAACGAACTGCAATTTGTTTGTTCTAGGTGGGTTGTAAACAACACCTATTTTACACCGAAAAAAGTTTTTCTCGACCTCAGCAAAGATCGATTCTTCAAATGGTGTTTCCAGTTGCCTGAGTATCTTCACGTTTTCCTTGACTTGGATCATAACCCCTCCTCCCTTTACATTAGTGCGGTTTTTTACTAAAAAATCATAATATCCATTAACAAGATATCCTTTAGAGTTATCATTATCATTAAGCCAAGTTTCACTTAAGCAAATTATATCTGGTGGTGACTCAAGACTTAGTATAAGTGCTTCCAATTTTTCAAAGTGCGGTTTTAGTGACATGGTATTCAAATGCAGAACTGAGAAATCATTACTAGCATCAGATAAATTGGATGACACAGAATTATGGTTAGGTACCAGTTGACTGTTCGACGCGAAAAGCACCTTCTGACATTGTGCCTGGTGCTGGCAAAACATTGTATTTAAGGGCTGGGGTAGTTGGCTTTAATGCTGCAAGGATATGAGGAACAATTGCATT